CCTCTATATTTATTCCCCACCATGTGACTGCCAAAATACGGTTTGTTTGTTTGTGACTGCCTCATGCAGTAACGTTTGGGATTAATTTTGCAAAACCTGCAGTCCTCCTTATATGTAGTGACTTAAGTTTCTTATCAGTGATTAGTGATCCTCAGAGGGCGGGAGGCACAGATTTCCTTACTATTCTGAATCACCAAGTTTTCCACCCTTTTCTAGAAGGTTCCCTTGCTGTGGCAACCTGGACGCAGTGATTACAATTCTACAGCTTGGTCTTTACTCTCTGCTTCCTGAATCTTAGCCAGAGGTCAGGGGGTTCACAGGCCCTTCTCAGGATGTGTGTGTGACCTTCAGGAAGCCAGAGCTTTGCAAGGCCATTTGTGGAAAATGGGTTTTTCCTCCAGATTTCTCATCTTCAGGTTTTTTTTTTCCAGTGTCAGCTTTACCCCGACAGGTATGTTGGTAGCTGAGACAATGACCATCGCCATTCCCTGTCATTGACCAAAATCCTAGACACAGGATTTTTCCGTGGGGCAGGGTGGGTCTGGCAGAGTTAGGGAGGAGGGTGGGAGTATGATCAGAATGCACCGTGTTCATGAGTGAAATTCTCAGAGAAGTACTAAAAACACTATGCTGAAACAGTAAAAGTGCTAACATTGAACAATAAAAACAGAGAGCAGGTTTCCCAAGAAGAGCCGGTAAGAGTAACGTCCTCTAGGTGTGTGGCTTCTGTAGGGCTGCAAACCTGACACCTTGCCAGGGCGCCCTGCATACTGGGCTTTCACAGTTAACGCCCTGTCCAAATCTACACTGAGGAGATGGAAACGGTAAGAGAGTCGGTTAGAACATCAGGAAGCTGCTTAGTAATATTTAGCCAGTTTTGTCTTGAATAAACATTTGGATGGGTACAAGAATTTGGAAAAATAGGATTTGGATAAGTTTTGCTAATGTTTTCCTACTTTTATGAAGCTGATTTTGGTGGTGATTAATCCATCACTCTAACAGGCCTGCTTAGTCTTCCTTTCAAAGAATGTTAATATTTGCCTAATTCTTTTTTAGATGCATAAAATTTATAGTTTAAGTATTTAATCAACTTGGAATAGATTTTACATATGAAAGTTCAGAAGGCAGTGGGAAGCCAATTGCAGTATTTTAAAAAGCTTTCCTAATTAAAATTCTTTTGAGAATTTAATAAAAGTAAAAATTGCCTTTGCAGAAAAATCTGCATATATGTACCGTTTGGCGTAATTTTAATAAATTCCCAGACTACTTAGGCCCCCTTCCGGGGAACAGAGACTCAAAGTGTGGATGTGCAGAGGGCCCCCAATTGACTACTCTTCACATGATCATTGTACACATCAATTCAAGGAGAGACTGAGTGTTTCTGGATTAGTGCCTGCTCCAAAGTTTTCCCGTTTCAGTTAAACCAGGCGTTTTTCTGCATTGCTCTACTCTGAAGCACCCTACTGTGCACAGCAAACTCCTCACACCTCTGCAACTTTGCTTTTCCTGCCAACTGATCATCAACACTTGACATGACCACCAAACACTTGACAAGACCACCAAACAATTGACCACCACACACTTGACAAGACCACCAAACACTTGACTACCACACACTTGACAAGACCACCAAACACTTGACTACCACACACTAGACATGACCACCAAACACTTGACATGATCACCAAACACTTCATAGGACCACAAACAAACACTTGACAAGACCACTAAACACTTGATAAGACCATCAAACACTTGACAAGACCAGCAAACACTTGACCACCAAACCCTCAACATGATCACCAAACACTTGACAGGATCAGAGACAAACACTTGATATGACCACTAAACACTTGGCATGACCAAACACTTGACATGGCCACCCAACATGCCACCTTTGTCAGCTTCCTATCATTTTCTTTTAAAAGGCAGTGTGGGGATCACAGACCCTGGCCAGAAACCCACTCCTCGATCAGCCTGGGAGCAGGCAGCTGTGAGACAATGCTTACTGAAAACATGTTTACTGAAAACAATTCAGTGCCATAAATTCCTGATAAGGGCTTGATAGGGCTCAGTCACTGAAACACCATGACTTTGATCTTCCCGATGGCTAGCTACTCCCTGCTGTTCCAGATTCTGGTGCCAGAAATTTAACCACCAGCCAGGAGGGAGGAGAGGTCGGTGAGAGGTGTGTGAGAGGGCTGTTGGAGATTTGTGAGTGTATGGATGGCAGAAGCTTTTTCTGAAGGGAAGCGTTTTTCTTGGGAAGTTCTCCTAAGCCGATTTGGGGAGCATAAAGTTTTCTTAACACAACCGACTGGTCTCTGTGTCATCTATCCCGACCACCTCGCTACATTCTCTGATACAGGCTGCGCAGCAGGCGCAGCAATTGGAGGTCCCACCGAGATCGTAAAAGCAAGGTAAGTGGGCGGGTTCGTCTCTTTTTCTGGCCAGGAACAGATGGGGGAAAATAGGAAAAGAAACGATGGGGAATAGTTCTGGGAAGCTTAAATTACAGTATCAAGTAAAAAAGTTACTTGAAGGACATGGGACTACAGTAAAGTCTAAAACCTTATAAGGCTTTCTAAAAATCAATCAAATGAGCGAGTCCATGGTTCATTACTGGGGGAAGCTTAAATATCCAAGATTGGGAGGAGGTTCGCTGTGATCTTCATCAACTTTTACGAAAAGAAGGACCTGAGTCCCTGCCCCCATCCACATTCTCCTTATGGAGATTAGTGAGGGGTGCACTTTTGACAGATAAGGCTAGCCACCGCCAGGTAGTCCAGGCCACAAAAGAGGCTTTTTCAGAGTTACAAGAGACTGAGACTCAAGCCTCCCTGAGTTCTGAGGCAGAGAGTGACGATGAATCATCTGGAGAAACCCTGCCTGAAACTAGAGGCTCCATTGTTAGTGAGGATGAGGAGGAGTCTCTTAGCAACAACAAAAGAATGAATAGAGATCTCGGGGCCCGACCCAAAAAGAGGGACTCCAGTCAGAATCGGGTATATCCTACTCTGTCAGACATAGAAAATGAAAATAGCTCAGACCCAGACTCTGACTCGTCAGAGTCTGAGAAGGAACGGTTACTTGCTGAGGTCGTGGCCCTTAAAAAAGCACTAAAAAGGACTCGAATTAAAAAAAGACAGGACAGGGAGAAAAACCCTCCTCCATAATTTAAAATGAGGTACTCCTCCTTCTCAGACCTGGAAGGAAGATCCAGAGGAGGGGTCCAATGCTGCCCGGTGGTGGCCCCAGTAATGGAAGTTCCAGACCCAAACAATCCTGAGCAGGTCATTCGGCGCAATGACCCTTTAAGTTTCAAAGATATAAAACAACTTAAAGAGGCAACTCTAAATTATGGAGCACAGGCTCCCTTTACACTTTCCTTAATGGAATCTTTTGTGCCTCTTAATTTGACACCTGGCAATTGGCAGCAGCTTTGGAGAGCAAGCTTTGTCCAGGGGAGATTATTTGATTTGGAGAGGTGAGTTTCAAGAAAGATGCAGCCAGACAGCCCAAAGGAATGCACAGGCCGGACAACCCCAGAGAAATGTGGAGATGCTTACTGGGAGTGGTCAGTATGCCACCGCTCAACAACAAATGCAATATGACATCGCTGTCTATGCCCAAGTGGCAGCAGCCCAGGTTGCTGCTTCTCTGCTACTGTTATCTAAAGAAATGAAAACTGCAACTGGGGAGGAACAGGAAGTCACTTCAGAGTAAAGAGTAAGTTTAATTGTAGTTATTTACTTGGTTATCCTAAATAATCGCAGGAGGTGTGAGCTTCACAGAGCTTCACAGAGCTTTCCACAAAAGCCATTTTTCTGCTGGCTTTAAGCAACGGAGTAGCCATTGTATGGTGACACTGAAGTCAACATGCGGAAAGACACCTCTTTACACGTCTCTGAGCGCATCTGATAGGCCAGCTCTCACACACTGCTTCCCTTACATATAGCTACTTCCTGCCCTGTGCTCCCTGTGGGCAACCAAAGAAGTTCACGTTCAGATAGGCAGGTTCCAGCAAAAGCTTACATTTCTAAGAATCTTCATTACATTCTCAGATTACAGGGGACGCGTTTTGTGTTGTTGTTTATGTTTTGTTTGAGACAAGGTCCTATGTAGCCTGGCCTGGCCCCAAACTTGCGACACCGGTGAGGTGGTCTTCAGCGGCTGGATCATCCTGCCTCGATTTCCCAAGCTGGGATTACAGATTCTGGGGAGACAAGACTTTAAAGTATACGGTATGATGTACTATACCGTACTGGAGGCCTGACAACCTGCAGAGAAAACAGGTTTCCAAGAAGGTTGTCTTTGTCTTTTCATACCTTTTACGTATATGGTCTTTCATTCAAGTATCTCTGCCCACACAAAGCCTGAATCACTCACTGTAGAGCAGAGCATGCAAGCTCAACTGTGACAACGGGGCTTGGGAAGATCAGTGGGCAGAAGCTATCCTGTGTGGAGGACATGCTGGCTCACAGCACGCTTCCTCTCACGAGACCGTGGGGGGACACTTGGGAGGCTGTATTAGTTACTGCCGTTAACTAGAGGGATGCAGGTATGTAAGTCAGACGTAATTTATTTGAATAAGACTGTCAGATATAATTTGCTTAAAACTGTTTTTGTGAATGCGCACATACTCCTGCATACACGCACATATGTATGCATGAAAGGTGGGAAAGAGGATGAATGAATGAATGAATGAATGCTGGGTGCTCAATACAGTTAGGATGAATAAAACAGAAACATGGAATCTGATCTTTCTTAAATAGAAGAAAATCACAAAATATGTTGCAGGACTATTAATACCAGGCAGGTAAAAAAAATGAATATTTAAAATACCATGATAAATGTAAAATACCCGTCTCCCAAAGTGATCTCAGGTAAGGCGGCAGCGGTGGCAAGTGCCTTCCGCTCTGAAGGACAGGGGTGGAGGGGCAGGGGCGGGGGGGGGGGGAGACACTCTGAGGAGCCACCCTTCTGGGTGCCTGACTTACCTGGCTCATCATCCGCTGCTCCTGGATGGCAGCCTGGACAGCCTCTGCTACCCTCTCTTGATCTCTCGCGTGTTCTGCTTTCCACATTGCCCGTTCTTCAGCATGAATTTTTTCCAGATTTTTCCTTTCTTCTTCCACTGCTTTGGTGATGACATCCTTCATCGCTTCCTTCTCAAGCTTCAAAGATAAAAAATGGACAAAATGGAAATTTTAGTAAGTTCAAACCCCAGACCCGAAACTTAATGTGCAGTTAGTCCCAACATCGCTGTTTTTACGTGTATTAAATAAAGGCACGGTTCAGTCACTCACTCTGTTACAAAATTTTCCCCCTCATCCCCTGACATTTCTTCATTTTAAAGAAATCAAGCAGGGGGCATCAAAAGGCAGGCATAAAAAGTTACTTATGGAGCTGGAGAGACGGCTCAGGGGTGAAGAGCACTGGCTGCTCTTCCAGAGGACCAGGGTTCAATATCCAGGACCCACACAGCAGCTTACAACTGTCCATAGCCCCAGTTCCAGGGGACCTAGCACCCTCACCCAGACATACATGCAGGGAAAACACCAAATGCACATAAAAATTAAAAATTTAATTTAAGAAAGTTATTTATGAGAAGGAAAATGCAGTAGACTGAAATACGTCTTTCAAGGTTTGTTACAGCACAACCCTTTCCTGAACTTTCAGAGACTCCCGTAATCGAACATGATTCCTAATGGAAACACTTGATTCACCGCGTGGATTCTTCAGGAGTCTGCACACCTGCGCGTCACCTGACAGGTGAACGCCATCCATATTCATTCACACGGTCACCACTCTCATCACCAATGTCCCCAAGTCCTGGAGAGCGAGTGGGGATTCTCCAAGCTATTGCCTTTGTCAGTCTCCCTCGGTTTCCATTCAAGCAAAACAGCCTGAATTTACTCTTCCTGCATCCACTCTCGTTGCTCAGAACTCGGCTCTCCTCAGTCACTCCTCGCAGCAGTTGTGTTGAATTCATCTCAGAGCTGCCTCTCTGCCCTTGTCTACTCTGGCTTTCAAGCTGTCTTTTGTCTGTGTATCTGTCTCCCCCTCTACGCTGCACATGCCCTCTACCAATGCTCTCCCGTGTCTAGCCCCCTGTTTCCCAGAAGCTAACGCCCGTTTCCAGGATGACACACCTAAGCCACAGGGTCCCGCCACATCTTCCTTAGCTACAGACTCAGTTCAGAACACTAGCCACTTCGTCAGGCTCACTTCAAAGGTGGCTTACTATCTAAAACCATTTTAATGAGGACGTGCAGTTTTTAGGGTCATAATAACTACTCATAGCCTTGTTGGTATATATCAAAATTTTATCCAACTGTAAGTTCCATGAAGAAAAGACAAAAAAAAAATAGTAGTTCTTGGATCAACACCTTCAACAAAGTGAGATTACATATGCCATTCAAATGGTTGCTATGGTTACTGAACCTACTGCTAAACCCCAAGCATATTTGTTTGCCCCTCCCTCCTTCCCTCTCCTCCCTCCCCGTCTCATCCATCTAGTACTAGAGGTAAAAAAAAAACTATCATTGTCCTAACATAACTATTTTAAAGTAAGTAACTAATGATCTGTTTCGCAAAGTCTTTCAATGCCATCATGTTACAGAGGATGAATGAAAGTGGAATTGTTCTGTAGTGAAGGACTGTTCCACACCGCGTCACCCTGTCAATGAGATGGGGTTCCATTCCCTTGGGAAAGAAAGAATGCCAGCAATGCCAGCGGTATGGAAGGACACACCTACCTTCACAGCTGACTCCAGGGTCTCTTTATTCCTCTGCATTTCCTCCTGCAGGCACTTTCCCAGTGCTTCCTACAAAAGAGAGGGCAGAGAGGAGGATGCCAGCCAAGGACAGCAGAAGAGTCGCTCTCCTCCTGCTGGGGGTACCCAGGGCCTTACCTTCTGCTCCTGGGACTGCTGAGCCAAAGCTTCCTGGATTTTTTCCCTCAACAGTTCCTTCTCGGTGTCCAGCACTTCCAGGAGCCTTTGGTGCTACAAAGAAAGATACCCGAGGTGTTGTTATGGCTCTGAAAAGCGACCTGTTAAGGACAGAGAACATCTGTGCCAAGGTAGCCAATGTTCACTGGAGGAAAACAGTGACATTTTTTGGCAAAATGAGCGTGGAGGTTGCAGGAAACCAGAGCTGGCAAGCCTCGAATCATCCTAGAGACCGACCCCGGGTTACTCTCGAGCTCAGCAAAGCTCATGGCTCAAGCTCGGGCTTACCATGACTTCACGCTGACCAGCCAACTGGAACATGAGGTGTCTGCACACCGCTTCATTTCATTTAAAAAAAGTGAAAATTCTATTTTTTAAATAGATTTTTTCTCATACAGCATATCCTGATTACAATTTCCCCTCATTTTACTCTTGTTCTTCCATGCCTCTTAGTGGTTTTGTTGTTGTTGTTCTTGCTACTAATTAGAAGACAAAGTAAAACAGTACAGGGATTGCATCCTTAATAAATCATGTGATCCCTTTGGTAAATGTCTTAGTTGAGGTTTCTACTGCTATGAAGGGATACAGTAACTCCTAGTAAGGAAAAAAGAAAACATCTCATTGGGGTGGCTCACTCACAGTTTCAGTCATCATGGCAGGGAGCATGGTGACGTGCGGGCAGAGATGGTGCAGGTTAGGTAGCTGAGAGTCCTACATCTTACAGGCAACAGGAAGTTGACTGAAACACTGGATGGTGCCCTGAGAATAGGAAACCTCAAAGACTGCCCCACAGTGACAGGTCAGACATATGTGATCTGCTTTTCTATTTTGATCTTACAGGAGATTACGGTTAAGACATTGCACGAAACTCAGAAAAGACTCTGAACTCTGGATTTTAAAACAATGCTGAGACTGTGATAGACCATGGGGACTTTTGAAACTGGATTAGATGTATGTTGCCTAATGATCTTGTGACAAGCATAACGGGGCCAGGGAGTGGAATGTGGTAATTTGAATGTAAGTGGCTCCCATAATCTCATAGGGAGCGGCACTATTCGGAGGTGTGGCTTTATTAGAGTACTTATGGTCACAAACGATCTTTAAAACACATCTTTGTTTCTCTTACAAGTGCTCAAGGGAACGTTCAGAACTAGGCTGGATTCAGTCACCCAGAGGGGCTTTGAGATGTAGCAGTGTTCCAGGATCCCTGGCTGCAGGTGCAGGCACCGGGCTGCATAGGCCACACCACAGACGGACTCTGCTGCTTCTCACTGTGGAATAGGTGATGTGTGATGGCTTTCTCCCAACTGCTCTGGTTAACAAGACTTGGCTTTACGGTCCCATAAAAGACATTATGAAAATTAACTGAAACCATCCCAGCAAATCTCATCCAAGAGGGGTTTTGTGACATTTTGCTTATTTAAGATACTATATTGCTTTTTAAAGCGGCAGTGCAAGCTTAATAAAAAATTTATATGTATTTTACATGAAAATATAAAAATAAAAGAGTTATAAAATTATGCAACAGGAGAAATAAGTTCTAACTTCACAGAGTAGAAGCTGGGTGCAAAAAAAAGATAAAAAAATAAAAAAAGAAGTTGGGTGCAAGGGTGTATGAAAAACAATCTTTTGAAACATAACAAGAGTGAAAGGCATCTGGGAATAGAAAGCCTCATGTCTTTGGAAGCAACCATCCCAAGTAGAAATGCTCCCTGCAGACTCGAATGTCAATACAGAGGTTCTACGGTTTTTACCCAATCCTGAACATGTGAAAAACAAACAAACAAACAACCCCTCTCTTCCTTGGAGTGTAAGTCACTAGAGAAGCCTGAGACAAAGCCACCCCAGTCACACGTGGCTCCTCTGCCATACTGCAGTTTAGACTAAGGCACCTTGGTGCTCACGGCCAGGCACACAGCTATCTACATACCACGCACCTGAAATCTCCCACTATGCTTCCATGTTGGAGGCGGGGAGTATGGTGGTAAATACTCTGTACAGCTGTCTCTGACCTTCTCCACGCCTCTGACCCTGCACACACCAGGTGATCTAGAAGGAATCTTACCTGTGTGCTCACATACATATTTCTGTTTGCTATGAATGGAAACACACGATAACTAAATATGCACCTTACCGTAACTATCCTAATATGCGTTACAGACCACCACTCTTTTATGGGCAAGCACTTTAAATACTGGGAAAGAAACCTTACAGACGATAAACTGAGTTTTCATCTATTTAAGGAGGTTTTCGAAAGCCAGAAGAACATCAATGTGCCTCTTACTGTGGATAAAATCAAACCACAGAATGCCTGCATTAGAAGATTAATGTCAAGCAACTGTCACGTTCCTAACACGCACAGGAAAGCCACAGTGAACCAATGCTTCCCATTTATGCAGGGCTTTCTGACTGTCCAGCATGAAGAAAGGAAGCGTGCATCGGAAGGCCAGACAGACGGCACTTCCACAGCCGGCTTCCATCTTAGACAGACACTTTGTTAAATCAGAGGGTTTGTTACACTCCAAAATCTAACTAGTCTTTGCCTCAACAACTTCTAAATGAGACAGCTCACCCTGGTCTATCCACCCAAATACAGCAGAGAAGCTTCTCACAGCAGTGACCAGACGCTTGTATGTGCCAAGCCCAACAGCAAGTATCTTGTGTTTTGGCAGTACCCCGTTTGTGTGACTGAGACACATACCTCAGGACACATGGAAGTTAATATGTCACACTCCGTAGTCTGTCAAGGGGGCGGTTTCCCTGGTCTCACAGCAATGCCTCCAAGGCCGTGGGTCTCAATGCTTGATCAAAGGTCTAAACGGAGGCACTAACCCACCCAGATCCCCCAAATGCCGCTCTCAGCACTGCCTTGATAAGGTTGTATTACCACATGCATTTTGGAAGACATACACACTCACCCTATGGCCTCAGGAAGGTGGGAGGGAGGGGCAGACACAGCTGTGGAGGCAATGGTTTGACTCCGCACATAATTTTTAGGCAACCAGCTTGAGCTCTCCTTGAGAGGCATAAAGTGCCTGTGATTCTACCTCCCAGGAAGGCATCATCAGAAACTACCTAGCAGATGGCCCTCGTTTCTCATGCTCATCTTACAAACCCCCACTTTCATAGTTTACATAGCAGTATCCCTAAATCAGCTAGAATAAGGCTTTTTAAAGTTGGCTGAAAAACAAATCTTTAAACGACAGACTAAGTGTGCTAAACAGCGCTTGCACTGTGACAGTGGGTTTGGCGACATCTTACAAAGCTAACATGGTCCCCTCACACAGCCTGTCAATCATGCTTCCTTGGGGCGTTCCTCAAGGAGATGAAAACTTATGGCCGTGCAATGACAGACACAGCTGTGTGCTGCAAGAAGGTGTTCAGGTCCTAAAGGCTTTCAGCTAAGAGAAAGAAGCCAAGCTCCGTCCCATCCCCCAGGGAAGATTAGAAAAGTCAAAACTAAGGAGACCACAGACATTTGCATTGCTTCTCAGAGTGGGGTAGAGCTGGGTTCGGGCCATTACACATCGGTGAAACTCTTTGTAAGATGAAAAGCAGAAGCTCGGATACCCACTGCTCATAAGGGATTCATGCTGGAGCAGAAGTATGGAGAGCGAGACACAGAAGCAAACTTTCAAACATCGGACAGAGAAACTGTTCTACTGATGGCACGGGGAGGGGGGGGCCGGGGGGGACCACGGGAACCATGTCAACCATGTCGCCCGGAACACAGCACAACAAACGAGGATGTACCTAATAGCGTGGAGGGGTGCGCCTTCCCTTCCATGGAGTGTAAGGGGAAGGTGGAGAGGACCGTGTGGAAGGCTGGCTATGATCTCATTGCTGCAGCACTGAGTTTTCACATACTTAATAATCAGCCCATCAGTGTCTCTCTAGAATCAACCGAGCAGGCTGTGAACTTCAGTCTGTAACACAGTGTGACCACAGTGGGCGGGACTAACAGACGCATACCATGTAACACAACCTGGCCTCAGAGACGAATACCGTGTAACACAACCTGGCCTCAGAGACGAATACCGTGTAACACAACCTGGCCTCAGAGACGAATACCGTGTAACACAATCTGGCCTCGGTGGGCAGGACTAATAGATGCATACCATGAAGAGCAGCTGAAAAATACACACTTTCCAAGCTAACATGAGTTGTCAGTAAGAGGAAGTGATGACGTGTGTCAAAATTCACTGTTGTGTATGTGAGAGGCATGCACGCACGTATGTGTGCATTCACAGGCACTAATATCTGACCACAATTAAATACTTAGGAGTCAATTATGAAAAAAGCTGAAAAAATATCCTACCTGCATTTTAAAAATAGTATTGAGGGGTCTTCTTGGTGGGGAAAGATTGAGACAGGGTTTCTCTGTGTAGCTTTGGCTCTCCTGGAACTCACTCTGTAGACCAGGTTGGTCTCAAATTCAGAGATCCCAGACCGGGTGCTGGGAATAGAGGCATGTGCCACCACTGCCTGGCTTAAAAATATTCTAACTAAAATTCTAAAATGGATACACTTATCAATTGCAGTCAACTGAAGTACTAGCAGACCCATGCCACACCTAACATAGGCAGCATGCTAGTTACACCAGCTCCCAAGAGGAAAAAACCAGCCAGAATCATATGCCGCAGTAAGCTGGGATCTTATTTTCCAACTTAGCAATCAAATCAGCAGCTCCCCCTTCACAGGGTAAGGGTATCAGGAAGTAAGGGTGCCCATAAAGAGGTTCAGTACCCAACACAGGAGTAGAGGTGTGGCGATCACCGTGCCCCGTATGCTCTTCCTGTCAGGTTGGTCACCTCACCAGCTTTATCACATAATTCTGAGTCTTCTTTGTAAAATACACATGTGCACACACAAACACACCTGCGTGCAAAACAGAAGATTCAGTAGACTGCATACACACCTATGTGTACATACGTACGTGTCTATAAATACATACATGCAGTATATGTGGATATGGGGGTGCTAGAAATGAAACCTCAGTTCTGGACTGTGAACTCCTCCTTCGGGCCTTTGCCACAGCCTGCACAGCTTGGTCC